TGCCAGTCTGGGGGATATGCAGCTGACTCCTTAATCCATTACATTATACAGTGCATACTTTCATTCTGAACTGTGAACTCCAAGAGCGAGCCGGTATATTTGCATTTCAGGAACCTATTTAAAGTGGCAGCCAAAACTGGAGAATGTGTGTTGAAACCCAGGTTTTTCTTTGTTCTTTTTTTTAGTATTGGTTGTAATTTAAGGACAGAGTATATAACGTTTGTTGGAAAAAGGTAGTTTTGGTTCCTAAGCTTCACACATAGGTCAGTTTCATTTGGAAACATCTGTCTCATGAAAAATAAGTGAATCCAAATGAATTGATGCAAGGCAGCATAGCTGAACTGTTACACAAATAACGTTTCTCAAACATGTATTCATTTTTCATTAAGATAGGGGTGCGTAAAGGCCTTGCAATCTAACATAAAATGGATAATCTGTTCCTGTGTTCCTATGTTGCTTAGCACTGTAGGGTTTCTAAATGAGACAATAAAAACATACACAAATGACATGCAACACCTTCCAACATAGATTACAGACCTTATTAAACAGCAGCATTTTGAATGCTGAAATGTAAAATCAGAAGTATTTCTCAATTAACAACAGACTACCTGGCTGTAAGGCTGCACCAGCATTGTTGGCTTCGCTGCCCCATGAAAGGTGTGCTCACACCTTGCCTGCTTCCAAATCATTTGGGAAATGTCTTGCTTCATTTTTTGTCTCAGCTTAATTCTTCTCAGGGTCCTCCCTCCAAGAGACTTAAATTTGTGTCAGAGCTACAAGTAGCAAGTATGATCCTGAAGAATGGCGTGAGGAGTATAGGCATGGTTGACTGTTACTGATCAGACTTAGAAGAGCGCTGCTGTTTATCTCTTCAAATTGTAAATGTTTGAGGTCTTACATTCCTGCCCTGTTCTAGGTTGCCTTTTTGTCGATATTCCAGATTAATGTGACAGTGCCACCTGTGTTCGCTCATGCCCAGCACTGCTCAGCACTGCCCCACTCTGCTGCCAAGCAGCTGTGGCTGTTGCCTGCTCAAGGGGAACGGGGACCACAGCTGCTTTGTTCCCTGTATCTTTGTCAGCGTGGCGGCAGCGGCAGCAATCTGGAGGGACTGCTGCTTTTCCCTTTTTCAGGGCGTATGTCCAGAGGTGATTTAGAGTCAATTCATTATCTCTAGCAAAGCACAAATGGCCTATAATCTCAATATACTGCCGTGCAATTTCCTGGAACTACCCCAGGCCTGACTCCTGGATGTTGGCAGAGATCCTCTTGACTTCGAGCAGTGGAACAAGGGACAGTTAGTGTGGTCTTCCTGTTACTCCAAGTTCTTTTACTGAACTCCATATGCAGATTCACAACTTTTTCATTGTTGACAAAAGAGAGAATTGTCATTGTTTAGAAGAATCTTGCTCGTCTTAGTTCAGGAAGCCTCAAATATGAGGTAAGATGGAAGAGCCACAAGGAACAGAATAGACCTTAACATGGTGCAAAATCAGGCTTGTTTGCTGCTCAGAACTAAGGAAGATTGAGAGGATCCTGACTGCAGTGACAATCACTGATGTAAGCAATTTAACAACAGTTTGGTCTGAGCAGATCTGCAGAGCCAAGTTTATCTAAAACATTCCCTTCTCCTTTTACAGGTAGTTTGCTTGTGCCACGTGAGGCCTGTTGCATTGCTAAAGTACTGCACTGAGTTTCTCTGTTTGGCTTAGCTATTCTTAGTGTCTTTGAGGTTCCTTCCAACCCAAATCATTCTATGATTCTATGACTTGTTTCTGCTTGGTAATATGCAATCAACCAAAGGTGCAAGAGAAAAGGAAGTATTTCCTGCTTTGTTCTTTGTTTATTAAACTCAAAGTAAATTAAATTTCAGTTAATCAGATTTTGGGGTTGGAATTGAATAATTAGGAGAATATAAATAAAATTTCCAAGTGCTGCTTTTATCCAGTTTCTTTTACCTCAGAAGCAGGGCATATAAAAGGATGGCAGCCTGGGAAATGTCAATAAAAGAGCTGGTAGGAAAAAAGTTAAACATTGTCTGCCTTTTACGATTTCTTTGAAAACAGTTATTATTTTAAGGAGACTACATTTGGTCAACCTACATCTTGCAGCGAAAGGAAAAACACTATAAAAATAGACTTAATATGGGAACAGCTACATTTTAAATAAACACTGTTCATGTGTATCCAAACTAGTAACTATTTGAAATTAACACAAGTGGCCACAAGTTGAAGTGCCCTAGTGAAAGAACAGGATGTTGGAATCGCTTCACTGACAACATTTTGGGGCTCGGTCAGGGAATCAGAGGAAGCCCAAGTGGCAGTGGAGAAATTATCGAAGCACGAGCAGACATCCTAACTCAAAACTCATCCTAACACAAAGTCCTGCCCTCGGCTGGCTGATTGTCCAGGACTCTGCCTGGCTGCTTACCTAGAGCAAGCAGTTCTGAACTGGCCTCTGTGTGTTTGGAGAAGACACAGATATTTCCCTCAATATAAGTTAAAAGATGTTCAACATTTACAGCTTTAAATGACAGAAATAAGTCCTTGTGCTGAGATGAAATTCACCTTTTGTTACTTCATGTTTATCTCACAAAAGGAAATATAAATGCACTTGGCGTACTGCATTCCAAACAGTACACTTCGGGGGGGGGTGTTTTTGTATAAACATCAACAATACACCCTTTCGAGAAGGGACAGTTTACAATATTTCTTTCAGGTGTATGTATTCCAGTTCTACATATCCCATCTTTCTCTCTGTTCTGACTTGAGAGCCTGTCCCCTGCCCACTCATTCAAACTCACCTGCACGGCATGTTTTCTGCAACCAGCTGTCTCTCTTCTCGAGCACGCTGGGAGCTGTACCCCACTCCTCTAACCCCCAGTCTGGTTTCCTTGCTTGCTTCCTTAGTAATTCTCCTCCAGCAGTTATGGCAGCACAAGCTGATGAGCATCGCAGATGGATGTGACTCTGAGCCTCTTAAGTACTTCTCATGTACACAAAACAAATCTGCATTTCTGTGGTTTGTACAGCCATGTGCTAAGACCTCTTCACAATGCATGTGCACAATTAATGTCAATTTTTTGCTGTCACAGATACTGCTGTTTGCTTGATGTTGGCATTCTTGACTTGTGACATAACTTTCTGCTGTTTTAACTTCCTGATGCTTTTCTATTTTCTGCATTAAACTACTTTGGGGGCAAACTCTTCATAGCCATGAACATCCTTAGCCAAATTTTAAAGTAATATATTCTATGATGCAGTTGAAAACATGACACATGAAGTGCTACTGATTATTCTAGAAGGGTTCTGCCAGTGCTGCACTCTTATGTTATCCTACTAATCTTACCTCATTTCTCAGGTATCCTGCTCAGTACCTTCTCCTCCCTGCCCCAACTTTAATGTCCGAATTCCAAGCTCACATTGGTTAAGTCTCTCAAAACCCCAAAGGCAGAGGTGTTAAAATGTCAGGTGCACAGAGAAGTGAGGGTATTTCCAGGCTTCCTTTCCTGTGTCAGGCACAAATTCAGACTACATGACAGACTGACCTCCTTCAGAGACTTCCCATTTGACATCAGAGAGAGTTTTGTATGGAGGTGAAGGAAGGTGTGATGGGCACAGCCTCCTTCTCCGCTGGTTCAGCACCCAGCTGCATCACGTAGTAAGGCTAGAGCACACCAACTTACCAAGTAGGATGCTCTTTTCTGCTGCGAGGTCTCCCATTTCTCTCTCTCAAGTTCCAGCTTCCTTTACTACTTCCTATAAGAGCAGAGGACAGCTTGGTACTTCCATCGGACATGAAGCGAGGTCCTCCTATTTCTACCTGAATGTCCCTCTCAGACCTTAGCAACTCCCACCTGGAGGCATTCCGAGCATGCTCAGTACCAACAGGTGTGCTTGCAAGCCACTGGCCTGTCTTACCTGCTGTCAGCTCCTGTTTTTACAGTGTGGAGGGAAACGTTTTCTCCCTCTAACCTCAAATCTTTTGAGAATGATACTCGTGTGCTGCTTTACCATTCCACAGTGGGCAGGTGTCTGATCAGCTGCGTGGCGGTGATCCAGTTTGCCTTTGGTTCAACTCTTCAATGCTTTCTAGACACATCTCATAAAAGCTCAGTTAAAACTCTACATGCGATTGCTGCAGGAGACTATAAAGCCAGGGCCAGCACATTAAAAGTGCAACATCTTACCGAGATGACTTCTTGTACCAGAATATTGTGGCACATGGTTTCCCAGCCTGCACCTCTGTTTCTTCACCCTTAGGACACCCACGAAAAGCACCCTGTGTGAACAGCCACAGTCACTGAAAGCATTCTCAGTTCAGGTGGAACAGGTAGTAAATAATTTCCTCCCTGCCCTTTAATTTGTTTGAGGTATTTTCCCCCCTGGGCTTTGCTAACCAATGGCGAAGTGGCAGTTTGGGGAAAGCGTCTTGGGAGACACAGTCCATCACCTTGCAATTTTTATGTGATGTCTTCAGCTTCCTTGGGTCTTTTTGCAGAACACTGAGCAGTCAGTCTCATTTGAAGAGCCTGACAGTTAGTGCAACTGGAGAATAAAAACATCTTTATCAAGTTATCAAGGCTGCTTCTTGTTTACCCGAATGCCAGCTGGAGAAGATGCCTCTCTGGGCCTTAGATAAACCAACTGCTGGCCCATCTTTCAGCTTTGCCTGCCCTCTGCTGCCCTCTCGGGCAACTTCACGGATGCAGCAGAATTTAGTAAAGCTCTGCTGCAGCTGTCTTACGCGTTTCACACACACTTTCGTAATGTGCACAATATGGAAATAAGAAAGTACCTTGCCATAGCATTGCTACTGGAGCTACAGGCTCAGTTTTACTTCCTAGTATGGTAAAAATTATGTATTGGCAGTTGTTTGGCAGATCCAAAACTTGAACATACATAGAGGACTAATCTGCATTAGAGATTAAATTGCATGACACAACTTTCTGAATGTTGCATGTTTGCTGTGCAAGTAGTTTGTGCTCTGCTTTATTTCAGGAAGGCTTTTCACTAATTGATTCCCACAAGTGGCTAAAGATAGTAAGAAGAGCAGACTGCCTGCTGCTTCGTGCCCAGGCAAAGGTGAGTTCCTTTTAATATTTCTAATAGCTGGCACAGTTCTTTTTAAGACTTTTTTTTTAATATTGGATAAATTAAACCTGAAGTTCCAAGATACTGTAAATTGTCTACATAAATTATTTTTTTTAACTAGATATTAAACAAGAATGGATTGAATCATCTCAGTGTCCTTTATAACTGCTATTATTCAGGTCTTTTAGAGTGCTTTCTGAGAGTTAGCTACTAAAACTGCCAGACCAGAGCTTATTTTAGAATTTATCTGCCACGGCTAACAATTAAAAAGATGAAGCGATTCTCTTATGTGTCCATAGGCATGCTACCTGTGAGTCGGGCTTCACTTTGGCCAAGGGAATATCTAAATGAACACCTATGTATCCATTTTGTGGCCCCTGACACCTGGCACAGTAGCAGCAGGCTGGGGATTCAGGCATTTGGTATTCAAGGCAAGGAGAGGGACTAGATGCCTGGTCTTCCCTTCGGATCTCATGAGAAGTGGCAGGTTAGCCTTGAAATAATTAAGTGGCACTTGCCTCTTGCCAACTTATGTCTAAGTGTCAGTTGTCTCGGTTCTCAGATGAAGCTTCTTATTCATCTACACTCACTGGGTTTTCCAGAAATTCCTGTTACGTTGCATTTCAATCTTTTACCCAATTTTTTTTTTATAAGACACAAAAATATTTCTTCTAGGGTGTTACAAACCAAATAATACACTTTGCAGAGCAGCGAATGCCTTCCTAACGGCGAGACGAAAGACGATGTGAGGCATAATAGACATTGTTTAAATGGAAGGACTCGTTTCAGAATAAACCTTGTCTGATGGTGGAACTAGGAACTGCATAAATGCCTTGAACCATTTTAAATTCATGGGTTCTTTGCTCTCCAATTTTTGTCAAGATTCTTATAAAACACGGAGTATCGCTGAAGACAACTACTGAGCCATTGCAGTAATTAGTTGTGATAAATCAGCAGTTTCCTTGCCAGTTAACAGACCCGGTTCCTCGGCCCAGCTTTAAGGCGATCTCACTGCACCTCACAAGAAACAAAATCAACATCACAATCGCTCTGAGGCTTGGACAAACCTCTGAGGGACAGTTCAGAAAAGGAACATCATTAGCAGTGTCTTAAAATTAATTTGGTGCATCTAAATGTTTCCTTGTCATAAATTCAAATGATTTAAAGCTGGATTTGGTTGCACTGCAATGGGCCTCTCATACACATTATATGGTTCAGGTGTTACTGCCCAGCACTCAGTTTATGCTAAAAGTTGTCATCCTTTTAACTCAAATTGAGTGCCTTCTCTCTTCCATAAAGGAAAAATGTTTAATTTACAAAGTATTGTTGCTTACCAACTGCAATCTTAAGGATTTTAACAGTCCTTGAGAAAAAGCAGAGGGCAGCACAAGTAGCTCAGACTGAAAATTGGTTTGGTGGTTGTCAGGGTAACTAAAACAAGTGGTTTTTGAAAGTCTCCGAAAGAGGCAGTTACCTTTCTGTCATTTTAATAAGAACTCACCTGTCTGGCATATCCACAAATCAGTCCTTGGTTACGTGAAGCTGACCCAGTTCAGTTGACGTATTAGTTAATCAGAGGGAATGTAACTGCACACTGGTAAAACAAGTGCTAGAGTCTGAATTATTTTGACATTTTTCCCTTTGAAAGGCACCTAGATAAGCTTTTATGCTTACAATGCCCTAAAAATCATTTTATGCAATACAAGCATCTTAAAATAACATGCGTGTAAACATACAGGTTGTCATGCAGAGCCAGCTCATCTTTGAGACAGAAATCTTTAAAGTGAAAGATGTCCTTGTACTTAGTAATCAGCAGTCTAGCAGCATGTCTAGTCATTAAAAAATACGCTTTTGACATAGAAGTCTTGGGAAGATGAAGACCCAAAAGTAAGCTAGGTAGGCCCAAGGAAGACTTGCTTCTTTTCCAGTGCTTTAACTATGTTTTAAATCCGAAATGTCAAGATTCCAAAGTTAACTTCTTCATATCATTTCATCTTTTGTCACAAGTAACTGTTTAGAATTGGCATACCCTTACATGACTTGCAGCAACAATAGGAGCTTAATATCTCCAAAATACATCTGAAACACTTGTTCTCAAGGCAAGGTTTCTTCATTTGGCTAGACCTTTCATTAGCTGACAAGCAGCCCTGCTCATGTACCATTTTCTTGAGTTTTTTTTTTAACCAATTCTCAAATTGGGAATCACAGTCTTGCAGTTTAGCTGCTGGGAAAAATGAAGGTACAGGAGGGAAACCTTTTTTCTTTATGTTGGTGCAGTGATCCAAAAATCTATCACCTTCTACCTATGTTTAACAAATAGGAATTTAAGCCTAATAGCTTGATGGGATGCACAGTTAATTTCTCTCTGGGTTTTGAACAGAATGAGTGCCGCATGTTTCGAGTTCAGTTTGGTGGAGATTCCAAAGAGCAGATGCTGGCGCACTGCTGTGGTTGCGTCCAGAAGCTGGCAGAGTACGTACCCGTTCAAGTCACAGGTGAACAAAGCCAGAACAGTCCCGATCAGCTGGCTAACGGTGGAAATCGTGGGAAGGGCACCGAACAAAATGCATCAGTACTATACAGAGTAAGTAAGCTTTTGCTTAGCTAGAGAGCCTGGAAACGAAGAGAACAGCTGATGCTCTGATAGAGGAAATGGAAGGATAAAAATATGTTGCTAAATCAAAACCATTTCCAGGAAGGTGTAGGGGAGACCTTCAACAGCTGATACACAACATGTGGTGTTTGTTCTTTAAGCAGCCTACCTATAACTTGGCTTTCGTCATTTCCCTCTAGGCTAAAGCAATGACTGAAAGCTAAAGGAGGTGTTTCGTGGCAGAACGCTACTAATGAAGCCCAATAGTCATACTGTTGGTATTAATGATACTCTCATTCCAGCAGTCTGAAAACTTCCCTCATAAAACAGAACTGACAAGTCAGACCTTTGGTTTTTTTCAGTGATGTAAGGCCCAGGAAGGGAAAAGCATGCTCCTGGTGAGCAGTCATACACTGCATTTCCTAAATTACTTCCACCAAGTAGTTTACAAGTTACCTTAGTTTACACATGGCAGTTTAACTACAGGCACATTATTTCCTGTCTTTCATATTTAAAGGCATGAGCAGATGAGCATCCAGGCTCCATAAAAAGATGCTTTCTTACTGCATGAAGTAGCTGAGCACATTATCTATGGAACTACTTTCCTCTTGCACATGCCCACACACTGCTTGGTAACAAGCCCTTATTTGCATTTGGTATCTTCTAGCCAGGTGAGCCTCTGCCAGATTCCTGCACAAGCCTTGGAGAAAGAAGATCTGTAACACAGCTAGCACAGGTAAAAACAGTAAATAGTATTTAGATTCTGTAACTGAATCTCTTGGGCATGGAGAGAGAGAACCTCAGTTGACAGCTTCATGGAGAAGTCCAGCATAAAGCCATATTTAAAAATAACTACAACTTAACTTTTGTTTGTTTACTGTGAATTTGGGACAGTGCAGCACCAGGTGACCAAGGAGAAAAACTCTTTCCAACCTCCTTCTGGGAGTCAGACTTACCCTTCTTTCACATTCACAGGCTGATCAAGTTGATCTTTCTTGACATCAGTGGTGTAAGGGGCAATTCCAATGCTCCCTGTTACAAATCTGTCATCTCCTAAACCCAAAAAAAGCAGAGTTCCCTATCCTCCTCTTGGTGGCAAGAGCCGTGTTACACGCCCCGACAGATTGCCAGTTTTCATTGGTGTGCACTCACTGCACTATACAAAGATGGCAACAAGTGAGCAACCAAACAAGGCAGCTTTGCCTTTAGCACCCACGTTTTTCATTTTCAACCTCTGCTTTAAGAGATAGAAATGTACATTAAAACTACCATGGGCAGCTTACCTTCCAACATCTGCTATTTGGTAGTCCCTGCGTAGGTCAGAAGCACTAAACAAGGTTTTGTTTGAAGGCCTGCACCGGCTGCACGCATTCATCCACCTCCTGCTTGAATTACTAACAGATTCCCTGGCACAAAAAGACTCCTGGATGGAGTAGTTTCCCACATCCCTCTACTTGTCCCTCTACGTCTTAAGTCACCTCAAACTCTTTCTAAACACCCTTTCGCCTGGTGCTCTGCAATGGAGCTCAATGTCTTTCTCTCTGTTAGCTTCAGGAAGCTGAAGTGTTGGCTTTAAGAATTCTCTTGCAGATTTTTTTTTTAAATAAAAAAAAATGATCTTTAGAGATAATTTTTATCCACCAGGAAAAGACCAATAGTGCAATGTGAACCAAGATTAGCAAAAATACTAGAGACAAAAACAAACAAAATCCCCCGACTCAACACAGCTGAACTTGGGCTGTCAGCACGTTCACCTGCCCGCTGTCTTGCACTGCTCGGCATTATTAAATACCAAAGGGAACTGTTACCGTAGCTGCATTGTTACAACCCCCCCGTACCCTTCCCAAGACCAGCACAGCGCCTTTTTGCGTTCTCCCTTTCACAGTCCGTGCTGAGGAAGAAGTCCGAGCTCACCCTTACGTACCAGCACTCGGTGTGGCCCGCACGCGAGCTGGGGCCCTTCATTCGCTTGTGTCTCCTGGATCAGAACTTCCCGGCTTTTGTGGAAGATGTGGAGAAGGAATTGCAGAAACTCACAGAAGGCTGAGAAATACTGGCTCGTCATACCCGGAACCCATGCTCGGGGATGCGCACGTGTGATTAAATATTTGACAAAGTCTCAAAGTGTTGGTGGTTTGTTGGGTTTTTTTTGTTCGGTGTTTTATTTTTAAAAACAGGTGAATCCACTTTTTATACATCATTGCACTTCAACAAATACACAGAACACAAGTTCATGCATCTACAGTTACGCACATCATGAGAACCCTGTTAGGTCTATTTCTACAATCTTTAAATCATGATAAATTACAGTGTCAAACTAAAGAGTATAACTAGTTGCATAGAATATCACCATGCTGTAACATTTCATCATTTAAACAAAAGAAAAAAAAAACCAAAACAACCAAAATTATAAAAGTTTGCCTGAATCGAATGTACAAGAATATGTTGAACACATCAGTGCAAAAGGAGTTGAGAATTTACATGAGTTAACAAAAAAAAAAATCACTTAAAAAGCAATCATATATATATATTTATAAACTGAAGTTTTGTTTTTGTTTTCAACTGCATTCCACCACCATGTCGAACCGTTCCAGCTTTTGAAGTCTGATTATAGGACGCCCAAGTCTCTCTCTATAGGTTAAGCCCTTAAGATAATTTCAATTTATATTACTTCTCTACATACCAGAACAGCATAATTCTCTCATCTTTCAGACATACAGTAAGGAATGAATATCAGCAGCTTAAAAATGAAACACAATTACTGTCTTTTGGTTTTCCCCCTCCCCAAAATATAAATATATACTGTATATATATTTAAGTTTTGCCGTACTTTACAAAAAGTCTCACTAGATGGCAGCGGTGCGTTTTAGAGCTTCGCCAATTTTAACAGCTACAGGAAGTAGAAAATGGCGCATGCGGGAACAGACTCACTACTTCTAATGTTTCAATAGAGTAAGGAAGGAAAAGAAAAAAAACAAAACAAACAAAAAGAAGAAGCAACATTCACAGCACATCAAGCCCAAAATAGTTTACACCTTCTACACTGAAGCATTATTAAAATTTATCTGGCTAGGTCATCCTTACAGGAGAGGCTAAATAAGGCATGCTTTAGACAGTCATATTGTTGCTCACTTGAAAAGGAAAAAATAAAAATTAAAAAAAAAAATCAGACAGAACTGGAGTTCTAGAACCAAGAGTTCCAACCCTTAAATTTAGCAGGTCATATTGCCATCAGTCTCTCAGAAACTTAAAGCTCTACAAAAGAAACGAGAAAAAAGGGGCCAGTCAATGCCCAGCAGCATTTTCCAGCCCGCGTAACGCCGTAACGGCGCACAAACCAAACAGCCTGGCTCGTCCTACGCAGCCCCCAACCAAGGGCAGCTTCCAGACCTTAACGCTGAAGGAGGGAGGTGGTTTGGGTCATGGGGTTTTTTTAGTTAGTGATTATGGGGAGTTCAACAGCTACCACATCGTTAAGCTCCCTGTATATTTTATGAAAATGACCTTTTGAGAACCCCCCGTGCTCCCTGATGCGCGGCAGGAAGGCCAGCGCCCTCCTCAGAGCAGCTTTTTGAACTTTCTAATGCACGGAACAAGTTCTGCTTACGGACCCCAACCGCTAGGGAGAAATGAGGGCTTTAGCCCGAGATGCGTGTGGGTCATACTTACATGATAAGCATTTTTAATTTGTGTTTCTCTGGCGTAAGTTTTTATCTTTATGATTGTTTGTAGAATTAGTTTTCCTGGAGAAAGAAACAGCAAAAAAAAAAAAATGCACCAAAATCAATCAGGAGCACAGGACAAAATGTCCTTTTACACAGTAAGTCAAGAGAAGGGAGAATGAGATTTTTCTTAAAACACACTTACATTGGCCCAGCTGGTTCATCATCTGCAGCAAGAATTCCAACACGACACGGGGCAACACAAGGGAAGGAAAGAAAAAGAGAGTCAGTCTCTGCCCTGCACACCGCCCGGACTGCAAGCAGCAACCCGATCTATCTACAGCATTAAAGGCCATTCCACTGGGTAGTGCAAAGGTTCATGGAGTTATTTTTCAGGATTTGAGTTTTAATGGCAGGTATATGTTGCTTCAATGGTTTTAGTTAACACTTTGAATGCTTGTCATGAAGAACTGCAACTGTAGTGGACAGATTGTTGCAATACGGTCAAGGCTCATCATGTCCCCAAGTTCCAGTGGTTCAATCTCATAAAAAATAGATGAGAAGACAAACCAACGTTTCAGTTGTAAAATCCTGCTGGTTGTTTTCTATATTAAATTTTTAAGCCATTCTTCAACTGCTGATATATACACAACAAAGTGCATACATCACACTCTCATCTTTCCCCCAGGGATGATACAACCCCTACAAATTCCATTTTTCTCAATGTCTAATTAGAAGGGGACAGGTTAGAGAAGGTTGGAGGTGTGAGACTCAATTCAAGTGCCCAAGTGCAGCCCTTGGGCAGCCGCAGGCATCCTGCGCACGTCCAGCGGAGCGCCGGGACGAGCGAGGGGTCAGACACCACTGTCTGACAGCACTGTCCTGCCTGCGCCTCTCAGCAAAACTGTTCTCTTTGAAGAGCTGGGAAGAAAAATTACAAGAATCTGCCAATGAGCTCTCCGTATGAGCTCTTTCATCATCAATCAAGCATTTTGCTCCCAAGCTGCCGTACAGAAGAGAGAAATGCATGTAAACAGCACTACAAAAAAAACAATCAAGAAAGTGAACGCTCCCACAGAGGTGTTTTGGGGGGACCAATTCAGGACCTGCTGCTGGTTTGGGCACTCAGCAGTTGCTCTTGCTACCTGGTGCTGGAGGGATTTATTTTTTTTTCAAAGAAGTTGTTAAAAAAAACTCTCAGCAGGATTCCACAAGGGTGCTTAGTGCACATGAAGCAGTTATGGAAATTACAGTCTTAACAGTGTAGGCATCCGCATGAGCACACGCTAGGAGTAATGTCTGTCAAAGGCGACATTACTCCACCTGTACCTTCAAGGCAACGGATAGGCAAAGCCACTGCTAGCACAGACAGTGACTGGAACAACAACAAAAAAAAAAAATCAAAAAAATCAAAATAATAAATAAATATAAAGAACTAACCACAAAATCAAGAGCTTTACAGCCAAAATAACACGCTAGCGACACACCAGTGTCCACAGAAGTCCATTGCCAGCAACAGTACACTATCGGACAAGGTACAGAGAGAACTAGGACTAGTCAAGACAACCAGACATCAATGTGCTGTTGTATATACAGCGGAGATATACAGAGACACATCGGGTACTGAGACACAGAGCACGGCTGAGTAAGCCTAAGAGCTTCCTTCCACGAGCATCTTTTGGTGCCCAAAAGATCTGAAAGCTGGCTGCGCTCTGCACGCCGCAAGCTGGCCGGGCAGAGCCTTGGACAGACAGACGGCCCCCGGGCAGAGCCTCGGATGGATGGACAGACAGACAGTCCCTGGCTCTTCCCTGCCCCCTGAGCAGGACTGCTACCGATGCCGTTCTGCTTTACGACTCTGGTATCTCAGCTTTCTAAACAAGCTTAACTGACATCTCTGAGAGTTTGTTTGGCTGGACTTCGGAAATATCAAACTGCACCATTAAGACACAAGCTCTTTCTTCCTCTCTCACTATAAAATGACCTTCTTCCTTTTCTGTTACAATATTTCAATGCCTATTTCAAGGTAAGCAGGTTTATGTGTTAAAAGAAAAAATCACTTCATGTTTATGAAGGCTGCTATCAGGTGATTTTCTGACAAAGGTGCAACAAAAATGCCTATCAGAATACTTAAGATTACACAGTGGATCACCACCGCTCATCCCTTTCCCAGCTATAACCTCGACAGAAATAAAATAAGACCGAGAAGAGTCTCTGTGCTCTATTCTGGTCAGCTGTTTAACTGCTGGAAAACAGCATCCCCAGTACAGTACAGACAAAGACCGAAACCTCAGTGAAATCAGGGGGCAACAGAACAACAGAAAAGTACAGAATTAGACTAAATAAAAAAGATTAAGAACAGCAAACTGAAATTCAAATTAGTTGTGAACGTGAATGAAGAGGTTTTAAGAGAAAGTGTTAACATTATGACTTGTGCATTGTATAGACTGAAGCGGAGATTAAACAAACTCCAAAGCATGCAGATCTCTCACTTACCACCATTTTATAAGGGTATGATGCAATTGAAGGGGGCGGGGGGGGGAAAAAAACAGAAACAAAAACAAAAAAAAAAGAAGTCATAGTAACCGACAAGTATCAATATAACTCAAAACCTTTATGGCAGAAGACCTGCTCTAGTAACTGATCATCCTTCACAGCGTGTAAAGCCTGCAGCCACAGAGAACATCCTCCTCCCAGCACTGCTTCGGTCCGTCCTGCACCCACAGGGCTCCCGAAAACGCTGCCGGGTGAACTGTGATTTTAAAACCGAACCCCTCCTTTTGCAGAAATTTCCTTTTGAACGTGAAGGGGGTCTGCAGGCTCCAAAAACCCCATCATTCATATAATACAATATTTTTAAAAAGCTCAAAAAACAACACACAAAAAAACCCACCACACCGAACTCCAAGTCTTTCCTGTGGATCTAGTGATTATCTGCTTAGCGTTGCCCTGAAACAGCACATTTCTGAACCACTGCCTTTAGCGCATCATGTAACATGTGCAATCAGTCCTTCCAGGCAAAAACATCTGGGCATTAAAATCACAAAGTGATGACAAATAAGATTTGCTTCAGTTCCTCCACTTGTACCAACTGTCTGTGAACGCACCCTGTGTTTTGGCACTCTGAAAAGGGGACTGTGTTTAGTGCCTCCCTCTACCCTTTACTTTCAGCCTTAATTTATGAAGAGTTTTAGATGTTACTCAGCTTCTTTTAGCTCCTTTGGAAAGCTGCAGTATTTATTTTTAATATCAAATTAATTCTGTGTCCCCTCTTATGCCTGGTGGAAGTTTAAAAATTAAACACTAACAGGTACTTGCAGCAGTAAGAGTTAAATTTTTGCATTCCAACTGATTCTATATTTCTCCTCTTGCTTAAAGTCTTGCA